GACGATCTAGGCCTGTGATTGATCAAGGCTAGATTGGACACTAAGTGTATTACGCTGAATAACTTAGTGGAAATCCACCTGAAAGAAGGTGAGACTGGATATAGGAGGATTACACCACCTATGAACCAGGATAACTCACTGAGTCATTTACTATTACGGGATATACTATATTATTTATGTTAAGCAAATAACTTGTAATTATTTCTTTTATTATTTGTGATTGTTTCCTTTTAGAAAGGCTATTCTCTGTATCGGTTCTTCTCCTATTTAAAGGATTGGCCGTATGGTTCAAAGTAGAACAAGAATAATAATAAAGTTGATTTTATTCCCTATTACTTCCCTACGTTCTGACATGGTATCAGAGCTTTAAAACGCTGCCATGGCCAATGACAAAGATGACGCTGCCGGGCAGCCACCGGCGAAGATAGACCACAACTCGCCCTATTTTTTGGGGCCGCAAGATCGTCCAGGCGATTCCATTACCCCGGTGCGGCTGAATGGAGATAACTATGACAATTGGGCGAATGCGATTCGATTGGCGTTGCGTGCTAGACGGAAATATGTGTTCGTTGATGGCACCATCACCAAACCCAAACCGCCATGTACGGAGGATGATTGGATTACGATTCACTCTATGTTGGTGTCCTGGATCCTCAACACCATCTCTCCGGATGTGAAGAATACTCTGTCTATGTATGATAATGCGCAAGCTCTGTGGGATGATCTCCGAGAACGCTTTTCAGTCGTAGACGGCCTGAAATTACACCAAGTCAAAACTGATTTGGCAAGGTGTACACAGGCCAAAGGGATGTCAATTGGTATGTATTATGCCAAATTGAAAATTCTGTGGGATGAATTAAACAATCATGAACCAATAATTGAATGTAAATGTGGCCGTTGCACTTGTAACGTGGGAAAGCAACATGAAAAACGCAGGGCAGATGAACGTTTTCATCAGTTTCTTATGGGACTAAATGCTGAAAGTTTTGGTCCTATTCGGTCACAGCTTCTCACGCAGGTTCCACTTCCGACTCTGAATCGCGCATATCAACACACCGTGCAGGAAGAACGCGTGAGGGGCATGACTGCTGGTTCGGAAACACCGGATATTCTCGGTTTTGCTGTCAAAACTGATGGACGTGCATACGGGCGCGGAACTAAAATTGACAAGACCGGCTTAGTTTGCTCTTACTGCAAATACACCGGCCATGATGTGAAAAGCTGCTTCGAGTTAAAGGGGTATCCCGATTGGTGGGGGGATAGACCCAGGGCCGACACTAAAACTGCAGGTCGCGGCAAGGGAATACCGAAGGGGACTGGACGAGACAAATCGATGGCTAAAGCTCACGCAGCATTGGCAGACACCATTCTACCACAGGAACCAGCCGCATGTGATAAAACAGTTGGTACACCATTGCCTGGGTTCTCCCCAGAGCAATGGCAGGCTTTGATAACGGCCTTTGGTAACCCACAATCACCGTCTGGTCGCATGGCGGGTAATTTCTCCACCGGCACTTGGATCATAGACACCGGCGCTACAAATCACATTTGTAGTGATTTAAATCTTCTATTTAAAACTCAGAACATAACTCTGTGTTCGGTTGGATTGCCCGATGGAAAAATGGTTCAAGCTACTAAAGAAGGATGTGTTAAATTTTCTAATGGATTATGTTTGCAACATGTCCTATTTGTTCCTCAAATGAAGTGTCATCTTATTTCGGTGACTCAATTAAATGATGCGCTTAATTGTTTTGTTCAATTTTCCTCTGACTTGTGTGTTATACAGGACCGAGTATCGAGGAAGCTGATTGGAACGGGTGAGAGGAGAAATGGGTTGTACTATCTTCAAGATTCACCTACTGCCCGCATTTTGACAGTTGCAAGTAGCAAAAATTCTATCTTTGATTTATGGCACAAACGGTTGGGACATCCATCTGGCAATGTGATGCGTTGGTTAGCACCAGTGAGTCATTTAAGGGGTTCTTTTAATTCCGCATGCGACGTTTGTTTTAGGGCCAAGCAGCACCGGGCTTCGTTTCCTATTAGTAGTAATAAAACTCATGATATTTTTGAGTTAGTCCATTGTGATTTGTGGGGTCCCTATCATACTCCATCTTCTTGTGGTGAAAAATTGTTTTTGACTATTGTTGATGATTGTTCTCGTGCTGTATGGATATATTTGTTGATGGACAAAACTGAAGTATTTAAAATGTTTATGATTTTTCTTGCTATGGTGGAGAGACAATTTTCTAAACAGGTACGCGTTGTGCGTAGTGACAATGGAACAAAGTTTAATTGTTTGAAAAAAAATTTCCAAACTAGTGGGATTATCTTTCAAACCTCCTGCGTTGGGACACCGCAACAAAATGGGCGGGTCGAACGCAAGCATCAACACATTCTCAATGTGGCGAGGGCTTTGCGGTTTCAGGCTAATTTGCCTATTTCTTTTTGGGGTGAGTGTGTCCTCACTACCACCTATTTGATTAACCGCACACCGTTGTTTGTACTTCATTTTAAAACGCCTTATGATATTCTTTTTGGTCAACCACCTTGCTATGACCAGTTGCGCACCTTTGGATGTCTTTGCTATGCCTATAATTTGAAATCTAAAACTGATAAATTCGGTAGTCGCAGCCGCAAGTGTGTTTTTGTTGGGTATATTTTTGGCAAAAAGGGATGACATGTTTTTGACTTGGATACACATGAATACTTTGTATCCCGTGATGTTAAATTTCTTGAAGACCAATTTCCTTTTGCGGATTCGCCACCCCCTTTGGCCTCGGATTCAGACGAACTTAGTGCCTCTCCTCCGATTTTGCCAGCAACGTATGATGATGTATTAGATGTGGCCTCCCCAGCCACGAATGTTCCTCCCGTGGACACGATCCCGGTTGATGTTCCTCCTGTTACTACCTCGGTTGATGTACCACCAGATATGTTGTCTCATGTGGAAGAAAATATCCCTTTGGGTCGCGGTTTGCGTGCTAAGCAGTCTTCGGTCCGTCTGAAGGACTATGTTACTCATACAGTTATTCGACAGAATCCCATTTCTCCCTCTCCGACTCCATCAGCTTCCGCAGGTATACCGTTTCCTATTACACATTATGTTAGTTGTGATAATTTTTCTGCGCCACATCGTATATTTCTTGCAGCTGTCTCCTCACACACAGAGCCTCAATCTTTTCGTGAGGCGGTTAAGCATCCCGAATGGCGTGAAGCCATGCAGGCAGAATTTCAAGCTCTTGAAAAAAATTCTACATGGACCCTCACTCCTCTCCCTCCCGGAAAGCGGGCTTTAGGCTGTAGGTGGGTCTACAAAATTAAATATCATGCCGATGGACGTGTGGAGCGTCATAAGGCCCGATTGGTTATCTTTGGCAACCGCCAGGTTGCCGGGCTGGATTATACTGAAACTTTTGCTCCAGTTGCTAAAATGGTGACTGTGCGTGCATTCTTAGCTGTTGCTGCTTCTAAAAACTGGGACTTACATCAGTTGGATGTTCACAATGCCTTTCTTCATGGGGATCTTCATGAAGAGGTGTACATGACTTTACCTCCAGGCTATTCTACTCCTGATCCTACTTTGGTCTGTCGTCTTAAAAAATCTTTGTATGGCCTTAAGCAGGCACCCAGGTGTTGGTTTGCCAAACTTGTTAGTGCTTTAAAACGTTATGGTTTCACTCAGTCTTTTGCAGATTATTCTCTTTTTACACGTGCTACTGACTCTGTTCAGTTGAACGTCTTGGTGTATGTGGACGACCTTATTATTTCTGGCAATGATTCAGTGGCCATTAATTCTTTTAAATCTTATCTCAGTGACTGTTTCCATATGAAAGATCTGGGGAAACTGAAATATTTTCTTGGCATTGAAGTTGCTCGGAGTTCTTCTGGGTTATTTCTCACTCAGCGCAAATATGCGCTAGATATTATTACTGAGGCTGGTCTTCTTGGCGCTAAACCTGCGGCTTTTCCTATTGAACAAAATCATAATCTTGCTCAGACCTCAGGTCCTTCTCTCACGGATCCTGAACCATATCGTCGCCTGGTGGGACGCCTCGTTTAACTGGCTGTTACCCGTCCAGACTTGGCTTATGCGGTTCATATTTTATCTCAATTTCTTCACAGCCCACGTCTAGATCATTGGCATGCTGCTCTGCGGGTTGTTCGATACCTAAAAGGTTCCCCAGGTCAGGGAATTTTGCTTCGGGCTGATAGCGATCTTACTCTTACCGGATGGTGTGATTCCGATTGGGCCGCCTGCCCCCTTACTCGGAAATCCGTATCTGGTTGGCTGGTTTTTCTTGGACACTCTCCGGTTTCTTGGAAAACTAAAAAGCAAACAACCGTAGCTCGGTCTTCTGCTGAAGCTGAATACCGCTCTATGGCGGCTGCCACTTGTGAATTAAAATGGCTCAAAGCTCTTCTCCTTAGTTTGGGAATTCATCATCCCCAAGCCATTCCTCTATTTTGTGACAGTCAGTCTGCCTTGCATATTGCTCGGAATCATGTCTTCTATGAGCGTACAAAATATATTGAGGTGGACTGTCACTTCGTTCGTAATGCTATTCAAGACAATCTGATTGCTCCCAATTATGTACCGACTACTATTCAGCTGGCAGATATCTTCACCAAAGCCCTGGGCAAGACGCAATTTCATTTTCTCCTACGCAAGTTGGGCATTCTTGATCCCCATGCTCCAACTTGAGGGGGGTATTACGGGATATACTATATTATTTATGTTAAGCAAATAACTTGTAATTATTTCTTTTATTATTTGTGATTGTTTCCTTTTAGAAAGGCTATTCTCTGTATCGGTTCTTCTCCTATTTAAAGGATTGGCCGTATGGTTCAAAGTAGAACAAGAATAATAATAAAGTTGATTTTATTCCCTATTACTTCCCTACGTTCTGACATTTACTTTCCATGTTTACTCAAACACACACCCATCTTCTCTCATCCTACAAATCTTTTTTTTCCAATAATCATCTTTTTGAAAAACATCTAAACTGCACTTGTAAAACACAGTTTGTATACCCTGTTAAGGTGAAAAGAATTCTGTCAAAGTTGTTCTCATCAAAGCAACCGAAGTCATACATCACTCTCTAAAGTATCTTACAACCTTTTTGAACTCCATTTACATTCTCTTGAAGTTTGCTTTTTCAGTTAGCAAAGAGTTCAACTTTTCACTAAACAACTACCTCATCAACTCTCTGGTAGCGGCAGCAGCATGCTGCTGAAGTAATCATCCAGTCAACTCAATATCTTTTGTGATAGTTGTTGTTACCTCCGGCTTTCCACAAACGTTGTAAGAACTCTTCACGTATCCAATTTCACAGAAAGATTCTTGAAACAATCCCTTGTTAAAGAATGTAAATAGAAAGTCATTCTTTCTATAACTAAAGAGTGTGTAATCCAACCGTTCTAAAGAGGTCAAGATTTCCACTGTACATTCTATAACCTCTCAAAAGGTATAGAATAGATTGTAAAAGAGGGAAAGATTTTATAAACTGAAAAAAGTTGTAAAAGTCTATTCACCCCTTCTCTAGATTTTTACCTCACCGGGGATCATCAATTGACTGCCATACTAGTAGTTCGCCGTACCCTTTAGTATACAGAGTTAATGTATAGAATATAAAGTGTCATAAAAGACCACTATGGGAACCATCATATTATTAACATTATGATATTACAGAACTTTTATTTTATACAGTTAAGTAAATAAAAGATATTTTATGCACAAGTGAATGAACAACCCGTAAGTTAATCATCCAGTTTTGCAGTTTATGTGGTGTACTGTACAATTGTATACAGAACGTAATCTTTTCCTGCAGGCAGTGTCATTTGGTGGTACACAAATGATCACCTCTCAGTTCACCGTGAAGAAAGAAGAGGCGCTTCAATGCCCTCTATCTCGTCTTCGGATGCCTTCTCCGATGGTACTTGTGTTGGCAGCGTGCACGCGTAGCATAATGCCACAACCTAAGACAAATTAAGTCTAAATGAGCAATCGGTCTGATCAAGACGTAAAAGGAAGCACACATGTTTTAAGATAGGGATGGGAAATTTGCAATTTCGTCTCATAACTTTCCACCATTTTCATTATTATTCCCGTAACTTTAGTCACATGCAAATGTGGTCCTGTAACTAATTAATATTTGTGATTTAAGGATTTCCCCCCTAAAAAGTACATTTTCCGGCGATAGTATACCGGAAAAGATGTCACCGGCGTCAGTTTTTTCTGCCGGAAAATGTACTTTCTAGTGGAAAAGTCCTAGATTCCAAATATTTATCAGTTACATGACCAAATTTGCAAGTCATTAAAGTTACAAGACCAATAACGATCATGGGCGGATCTATGTAGGGCCTAGGGTGGGCTCTAACCCAGCCCAACCCAATTTTTTTTGTTAGTATAGAAAGAGATTTAATTTTCAGCCCACTCAAAAATTAAAACTCAGCCCACCCCAAGTCTACAAGGAAGTGTTCTAAGAAGCTCTAAAAGCAAAAGGCTGCCCAAACTTTGTTTAAAGTCCATAGTCATGGAAACAAATGATCCCAAGAACAAATGATCCCGATGCGTAATAATAGAGTTTGGTGTGATTGCACCAAGAAGTGATTTATATATAGGACACTCAAGAGGGTGAACCATCCTTGCAGTCGGTGTGAGATAAATTGAGGAGCAAAACTTTACATACGGAGTATTAAACAATCGTATGTAGTTGGTGTTTGGAGCCAGTTGCAAATTATGCAATCCCATCTCACCCACTCACCCACTCACCCACACCATCAATGAAAGCACTTTATATCACAAGTTTACAACACTATTTTACAACTTAAATTTTATGATTAATGTTATATTATTATTATAATACTGTTATTATTATATGAATATTACTATTATTTGACCCAAGTCACCATGAGTAACTTTTATAAGCATTAAAATTTAAACATAATTATAATCATTAAAATAACTAAGTTACTCTTTATCAACTATCCTTATTTGGTCATATACTATTTCTATTATTATTATTATTATTATTATTATTAAAATTATTATTATTATTATTAATAAAATTATAATAGTTTTATTAGTGCATTAGTTTTATTTAATAGTTATGTAATTCTATTTGATTATTAATTTAATTTAAGCTCAAACTCGGCTTGAATAAAATAGATATATGAACTCTATGTTTTTAGTGTTCAAATATATTTAAAAAATTGCAATGAAAATGTTTAAATTTTAAGATAAATAAAATTTATTTCTATAATTTACGAGTTATTGATAGACTCGAGTCTGGATCAAACCGAATACCACTATGCTCGAACTCAGCTTGAACAACTACTCGAACTCAAAATCTAGCTCGTGTTCGAGTTAAAAAAAGGTTCTTAAGCTCAGATCACTAAATTAAATTCGAAATCATGCTCAAATTCGCGTAGTTCGAAAAAAACTCAATTCGATTACGGCCCTAAGCAGCCTAAGCTAAACTTTTTGTTTGCAATAACAATTTTTTTCCTGCTAAGCCCACCCCACTCTTCATTCCTGGATCCGCCCCTGATAACGATCAACCGAGAGTTACAAGACTAAAATTGCAAATGTCCCTTTTAAGATATTTCTGATTCACCGCCGTCTTCTGAGGTGTGTTAAGTCATCTCACATTGAGCACATATATGCATATAACTCACATTAAAAGTTTTGAACTACTTGTCCTATAAAATTGACATTTTAGGATGAAATCATAAGTGATAACACTTGTAAGCGCCTCATCAGAATTTTATACATAAAAACTATGGAGTCTAAGGGAATGTTTGGATCCGAAAATAGACAGCAAAAAGGAAGACCAGAGCTAAGTATAGTGAATTTTTATTGTTGGCTCCACCTTGGAAATAGTGTGTAGTTTTTTTATTGTCTTAGTCTTTTTATACGTAGTAGTATAAATAAATAAACAAAATGAGGTTGAGCAAGCGTATAAAAGAAATGTTTACTGACATTCTTGTCTAGTACTGTCTACTCGGTGACTACAGACCATCAAAGAACTACCATTTAGGTCTCATATATTTCTTCCCACTTACTTTTTTAGGACGTCTCAAAAATTCTTATCATTTCCTTTTTTTGTAAAGTTTTGTACGACTAACATTCATTTACCTTTTTCTTACTCAACCACAACAATGCATTTGTACTTTATTTTCACTTTCTTAAATTTCAATCCAAGTCAAATCGAAAAGAATTTTATGGGACGGAAAGAATATTAAATATCATAGGGCACTGTTCACTCCATGGCTATGAACATATATCAACCATCAAGATTTGAGTATTGTCCCATCAGTGTCTGCGGACCCAAAATCAATGTCAAATTCTATGGGCTTATTAATTCCCTATTGGCAAGCCAACCTATCCAAATCCAGAAATAAGGTTTCCAAATTCCATTTTTTTATTCATTTAAATTAAATATAATGAACAAACGACAATGTTATGAGAGGCAATAAGCAGATTACCAAGCACAAAGAAGCACAAATAAAGCTGAACCCCTTGCAATTGAATGGTGCATTTTCAGACAAGAACCAAGCTGGAAGAACATAATAAGACATTAATCAATTTATAATATGCGCAACAATTAAAAATTAGTATTTCTTTCCATATCAATGGAGTCAATCAAGGGTAAAGGTGGTGCAAGTTCTTCAAACTTACTAGTCAATGGACTCATCCCGATTGGAGATAAAAAAATGGCAATTGCTGTCACACCATCAATAAGTGTTAGTGTTTTACCCTACACAACAACATTATAAGATTATGTAAATACATAATTTAGATTATGTAAATACATCATAATAAGCGTAGTTGACTCTTTTAGACAGTGTCCATGTTTGTTTTCTTCTATAAACTTGACATGAACTTGTAAGAAAATTGTTTAGGAGACTGAAGGTCACATATCTCAAACCTGATCAGTTGAGCTCATTGCACGGGATATCATAGCATAAGACTGTCATCAATTTAATTAAAAAAGAAGTTACGATAAATTAATTGAGGAAAAGAACAATATAGTAATAATACCATCAAGTTATTATAATTGGTTACTTACAGCCGGTGTAAACAAGACGAAGATGACTCCAAGAGATGCACTCAAATAAGCCACCTATGTAGTGAAATATTTATAGTCAAAAGAACTGGTAAAATAGGGACAATCATTTGTAGTCGTCATATCAACATATGAAATTTATCTACTTGGGAAAGAAAATACCCATGGTGCCCAAGCCAATCCATAAAGCACCGCCTGTTGGATAAATAAAATTAACTAAAGCTCCATTCTATGACTGAGGTAAGAGTCAGTTTGGTCCTCGAAGTTGCATAAAATGGGTCAAATAAGTCCTTATAACATCCTTACTATCCGGGATTCCTCATTTGGGGCGGTTCCCAGCTGGAACTTTTTGATAATTTTTTTTGAGCATCTTATTCATTAAGTCTAGTTTACTCATACCAAAGTTCAGATAAAACTTAAATCACGAAGACATTCAAATGAAGTCTTGAAGATAACTGCGCAGTTAAAAGCGTAGTTATCTTCAAGACTTCCTTTGAATGTCTTCCCGATTTAAGTTTTGGCTGAAATTTGGTATGAGTAAACTAGACTTAATGAATAAGATGCTCACAATATTTCATCAAAAAATTCCACCGGGAACTGCCCCAAATGACGACGGACAGACAGTAAAACGTTATAAGGACTTATTTGACCCCTTTTATGCAACTTCAAGTACCAAACTGACCCTTACCTCATTCTATGACTATTAGTCTTTAAACTGAGTTCAACACTTAAACTGAGTGTTAATGACATCTTACATATGCTATGGATGCCAGCAAGGAAATGCAAAACATCAATTTCTCCCCAACAAATGGATAGATAAGGGGAAGCACTACCATCTTGAAACAAGACAAAAAAATGAAGTGTAAATAACATGTTTAGTTCCCTTCTTTACTTGAAGGTAGAAGAGAATTACAGTGTAGGCACATTTTCAAAAATATCAAAACATAAAAATTGTATGGGAAGATGTTCCTTTCAAGTAGTACCTGAGACACAACTGAACCTACTCCCACGACCATCAAAACTTGTGACAATTGATTTTTGTTAAAACCAAAAACAGCTTTCAAATAGTACTGCGGGCATGTTTATGAAGACACTAATTGTTAGAGTAATAGAGATATATGAAAATAAAAGGGCTCTTCCTTCAGTATCCATTAGCAGAGGTCAGTCTTTATGATAACATGATAAAATATACAAACCAGTAAGACTGCATCGATGCCAGACATTCCGAGTTTGAAGAAGAAACTGATCAGGGTGATGCACTTCAATGTTGGACTAAGAGGTAGGAGGAAATGAAAGAAAGAAAAGAAGAATAAAGGACAATACAATATATATTCTTGGCAAAAATGAACCTATTATGTGTATCACCTGCTGATGACAATCAATACAGCACGTCTCATAGAGTCATACCGCTCCCACATAAACTTCTTCACCTTGTTCACATTAGGAAGACTTTGATTCACTCCACCGATTGGTTTAACTGTCTCCACTAGATACAACGCCATGTAAACAGGAGCAAATGCCGAAAGACCTATTGAAACCTGAAACATCATCAACATGATAATGATTTGAGAGTAGCACAATACTAAAGATTCAACAAATTAGGGCCAGACACCCAATACCTCAAAGATGTATTTCTCTGGAAGAAAACGTGCCAGGGCATTTCCCAGGAAATCGGAAGCAGAAAAGAAACCATGCATCCAACTAAAAACTGCAGCTGTGTTGCTCTGATCAGTAACATCTGCCTGTAATACATTAGATGTTTGTTACTAAATTATCATTATTATTAAATAATGGTTATTTTTCTAAGACATAAACACTGGGTCATACCGCATAAGCATATGAGATGCAGAAAATGTTTCCATGTCTACTTATTATATCAGAAAGTGTGTGAACCACATAGTAAGCATATACAAAACCCCTCGACTGACTAATGGCAAGTAAAACTGCAAAAGAGGGAAAATGTGTTGCTGTTCTTAATGGTATGAATAAAAAGCATGAAAAATTAGAGATTGATTAGAGGCATACTATAAGGGAAGATTGTAGTCGATACAGCGAGAAGTAGAATTGGTTTTCTCCCATAATCATCTGCAAGCTGACCAAGTATAGGAACCGCCACCATCTTGAATATCCCATCAACCTGCACGTGAAATCATTTTACAAAAAGTATTAGATATTTTGCATGTTCATAGAAGATTCCTGGACGACTACTGGGCACGACTCAACCCAAAAATTTCAAAGAAAAGTGATTGGTGTACACCTTTTTGTGTACACGACTCACACGCCTCGTCTGTCGATCCAGACAGAGTTTGTCTTTTTGCACAGACAAATTCCACACGGGTTGTCTCATACAGACAACTCAGTCTTTGTAAACAGACAAGGCATGTGAATGGTGTACATAAAAAGGTGTACACCAAGAATTTTTGTTTTTTAAAACTATTAATCACTAATGTAATTTATTTAAAAGATTCTTTTTATCCTGTGGCGGAGCCAAAAATATGACTCGGGAGTAGAAACCTAGCTATATACAAAATTAAAAGGGGGATCACTTTTAAATAATACCTGAGTTAATTGAATGTATGTAGCTTAGATAAATGGTACTACCTATGTCTCGCTTAAAAGTTCCACTACACATGACACAATTATTTAGATAATAATTAAATAAGGTAATTCGAGTATATCTTGAGAATTAATTTTGATGAGTCTATAATAGAATGAGGTGACTGTAGTGGTATAGATGTATTATTTTTAACATTTGATGATTAAACAGTCATATAAGAATGTTAATTGTTTCCTATAGTAGAAATGAAAAAGTTTATATGAGACGTCTAAAAAAATAAAGTAAGAACCTTAGAATGCGACGGAGGGAGTAGTTTATATGAGACTAATAGAGCTATAAATTTGATATATATGTCATATATATTATAAACTCCATGTAAGTAATTACTGAATTAGATGCTATTTTTTATTTTAAATTTAGGAATATGATCAATATTTTGCATCAAAGTTGGCTCATTTTAAGTTTAGATTGTGCTGAGTTTCCAGAAATCATATTTTTTTTATACTTGTAATGAGTTATGGAAGCCATAATATATCACGTCGAAAGTATTTCAAAACTCTGTATTTTCAAATTCTCAGGAGTTAGCTAACCACCCCGACCAGGGGCGGATTGGGCATAGGGTCAGGGAGGGTCCATGCCCACCCTCAATTTTTTATTTTTAACTAGTATTTATCAAATATTACTAGATATATCATGTTGGGTTCCAAGTCATCACAATTGCACTTTGTTTTACCAAATTTACTCTCTAATGCAAAGATTAATGGACCTCCAAAATCTGATGTGGCAATAGACCATGACAATTGACCATGTCCACATTCGATCCGACCTCCCGACACCTTTGTTTTACCAAATTATCATCTTTTTTATTTATTCTTCCTTCTGCATTGGAGTACACTCCAAATAGACCTTCTCTATTTGCTCTAGACTCCTTCCATTTCATTGCCACGTCTGTAGCAATGCACTCAGCCCATTGGAGTTGCTCCAGAGTCATATGATTTGTTATGACTTATGACATCATCACCACTACTAATTTAGTGAGATCCCACCCTAAATAATTGTGTGGTAGTAGTTATATCGATCTCGGAGTTGCTTCTCCCTAAAATTACTGGGTTACTAATGAACTGTGATAATGAAAATATAGCCGATGAAATTGTGACTTTTTTCAAAAAAAAAAACCAAGAGAGGAGCCTATGCGTGAGACAAAGGGAGGGAGAAAGCATAATGGGACCCCGGGTGAAAAGAACCACTATTTTCTTTAGTTCCTGTGTGGTCGGAGGGTTTGAGGGGGGAGGGAAGCGAGAGATTTGTGTGTGTTTGGTGGAAGGAAATAGGGGGGAAGGGTAGGAAAGTGGAAGACTTCTAAAATGTTCCACTTCCTCCCATTCTAAACCACCCCAAATCAGGATATTTCGGATGAAACGTGTTGATAAGCACAAAATATACACCTCATACGTGAATGGACAAAACGTTATAATATGAAAAGGTAAAAAACAAAAACTTTTGAAAAATTAAAAAATTTTGAAATTACCAAATTTAGAGATTAAAAAATTTAAAAATTAAAAATTAAAAATTAAAAATTAAAAATTAAAAATTAAAAATTTAAAAATTTATTTTTTTTTAAAATTAAAAATTAAAAAATAAAAAATTATAAAATTTAAAAAGTTAAAAAAATATGACTCATGACCATTGGAGTAATATTCACAATAGTTAGACATGTATCTATTTTTTTAAGTAAGTTATCAAATAAAGGTAAATTGCGAAAATATTTTCATTAAACCTTTCCTCCTATTTTCTCCAACCAAACACAAATTTTTATCAAAAACCTTCCTTCCCCTTCCCTCCCCTTCCCTCCTTGACTCTCCGGTTCCCTCCCCTCCTTTGAACAAAACAAGGCCTTAAAATATTACACTATTACATACTCCCTTTATCATATTAAGATCGTCTCACATCAAAAATTTAGTGAAGTTTTTGTGATTCTAAATTATTCTAACTTTATTCTTATTTTACCAATTTAATATCAATCATATAACCTGCTTTTTTTAATAACTACACCACCTTCTCATGTCTCATTGTTAATGAGACATGAGTAGTATAAATTTTACTATGTATATTTTTATTATAATCTTTACAAAAAATACATCAAATTTAAAACATTTTATGTTCTTTCACATAACAACAATATTGCATATGGGCGAAGGCTAGTTGTAACTTGTAACCATGCACCGTCAATAGACCTAATTCTCAATTAGTTATACATAAATAGTATATTCACTCCGTCAATTTAGTTTTTCCCTACAATCTAATACCCTCAATTTATTCAACCAACATATATATTTTTTAAATTAAATCTTTACATCTATTTTTATGCATCAATTTTTTGTCAATATTGTTTTTTACAAATAATTACTTCCTTCGTCCCGGGTAAAGGTTCTCGTACAGTTCACGATGTATGACTAGCCATAATTTTAACTAATTTTTGTGAATAATAAGATTAATTTTAGTAAATAAAATTTACATATTAAGAAACTACATTAAATGGTTTATAGTCACAAAAAAAACTCAAATTTAATAAAATTTGGATGATAAAGTAAAAGATTAAGAACCATTTTCGTTGACCGGGAAAAAAGTGAAAAAGTAATTTTGTAAAAAATAATTATGTGACATTATTTTGGAAATGGATCCCTTTTGGTAAATAACTCCGAGATATTCCTATCAGCGCATCTTCAATGGTTAGCTAAAAAAACTAGCCTAGTTATTCTCGTGATTTGGGTTGCCACATCAGCATTTTCTAGCAACACTATTTCCAAATTAAAAGATACTTCAATACAACTTCTTTCTCTTCATCATTTATTATAATCATCAAGCTAGTAGGGAAAAAATGTAATGTCACAATAGTTTGTTATTTGCTTTAAAGTTGCAAGCAAATCCTCCAAATGAACCATTGCAATTGTTCTCAATTTTTGGTTAAGAATGTTTTTCATATAATCTTGGACAAATCCTAAGGTGTAAAAAATAATAAACATATACTTATATTTTTGTTTAAAAAGAAAAGTTCAATTTGGATACTCTATAAAAAACTTTGCGTAGATACGTTTTAGAGATATTTCTACAAAATTCATTATTTTTGTTATAATATGTAAAAAAGTTCAATAAAACTTTATAGAATGAAGTACTCCGTAATATTTAATGAATGTATATAGTAATTAGACACGTGCTTTATTTTATTTTATGAAGTAAATATAGTGACTTGTATAAAGGTGTAGGTATAGTGACTTACTGACTTGTACAAGTCGTGTTAGAATTGATAACATCCTTTTGAATATGGTTGGGGTTTAATTGAGTGTCTGAACAATGTCATATAAAGTGTTTGACACGAGATATAAAAAGTAAAAATAGTAGAAAAAAAACTCATATTCAAAAGTTTAAAATAAATCATCTCAAGTAAAGTCATAATTATTGATAGTTTTCAAGACCGGCCCGAACCACACCAAAATATTCTGTCTCTAAATCCCGAATTGATAGCATCTATCTTTTGGACCTTGAGTTGATAAAATTCCTATTAATAACTAAAAAATACTCCAATAAAATAGAGGTATACCGTATACTTCATAAAATAAAATAGATAAAATAGTAGTATATACTAGAGAAACATTCATAAAATCACTAGAAAAACAAAAACTGAAAATTGTCCCCAACTAGCAGAAAGCCCCAAAAAAGACAAGAAGGCGCCCCACCAAACAAAGATGGGCAACCCACCAATCCAATTGGCGCAGCTGATTGGTTAACCTAAAGTTCGAAAGGACAAATTAATGTCTGATGTTGTTGGCACCTATTAACACCAAGAATTGTACGTAGTACTAAACACATCAAAACAGAGAAATAGGCACAAAAAAAAGACTAATTAATTTGCAACTGCACTAAAGAAATGAAGGCACAGTAACAGTGTTCCAATACATAAAAATACTCAAGTTGGAATCCAAAAAAACAAATACTCAAGTTGGAAGTGTCATCATCATCATTACCCACTGCCATAGCGATAAGGTCGGATGTAAACAGTTTTACTCATGTACTAAGACACAGAGAAACCGTTCCGGATGACTCTTGAGAAGGTTGGTAAATTAATCCACAAGACATGATTCTTGAGAACGAAACAAAACCCCTTTTTAAAAAGACACAATCTTTGCTTACAAAAAAAGGATTCTTGATTTCATTTCTGAAAACCAAGAAGGGTTGGCAAATTAATCCACGAGACATGATTCTTGAGAGCGTAACAAACACCCTTTTTAAAAACACACAATCTTCGCATACAAAAAAGGATTCTTGGTTTCATTTCTGAAAACCAAGAAGGGTGGTAAATTAATCCAGGAGAAAATGATTCTTGATAACAAAACCATATTATAAAAAGGCACCATCTTTGCACACAAAAGAAGGGAAGGATGAAGGAAGAATAGAGAATAGGTACAGTTTGCTGGAGTCCATTGATGTAAATAGCTTGAGAGCAGGAGGATTTGCCATGGCAGAGGGCAGAGGTTGTGACATCAACCAGCACAGACTTAGTCATCGCATCAGCGATCAAGTGAACGCATAGCGGCACCAGAAGGTGCACCAATGGCTTCAGCACTTTCATTTATATCTTCTTCCTCTCGATTCTCAATTCCAGGCCCTTCAGAAACTACTATCCAGCAAGCAACATAAGTCAATCAATCCTGAATACCCCCTTCCCTGACTTTGAATTTGGAACCAAAAGTTCTTAGACAGCCGGGTGTAAAAGCTTGCTTATCTGTCGATGATGCTTTTTAGGATAGAGAATTCTGAGGTTTGTTGTATGTGAATGGCTATGGTGGCTCTGTAATCATTTAAAGGAAATGTAAAAGCGAAAAAATGAAAACGAAATTAATATAAATAATCCATACTTTTAAGTTTTAAGCATAAGCAAAAAATTACAAATCATCCCAACTCATCAAATGCATTACAAGAATAATTAGAGATCCCAAGGATGTTAACTTTTCCGTTAAATTTATTTTTGCATGTTGATCAAATGAAGACGAAAAAATATAAAAGTATAGGTGATACTCTTGTTACGATTTAGGTTAAGTAAAACGATAAATTAAAGAGCAAGAACACAAGAATTTACGTGGTTCACACAATCGGGGTGATTGTGCTAGTCCACGGCGAACGAGAGAGAGCAGTGTATTATTATATCGGCGTCAGAGTTTACAAGTACATAAGAGTCGTTTAAACAGGTTTAAGAAAACCTAAACGCAATTAAGAGCCTCAGGCCTGAAAAACAAAGCCCATAATTAACTTTTCCCGCAGATCCGATCAGGTCAACCCATGTACCCGGTCGGGTCTCTTCTCAGAAAGCATGCCCGGGTCGATACCAGGGCGGGTAACCAAAACAGAAGCTAAAACCTTCCACTGACCCGGTCGGGTAAAGCTCCTTACCCGGTCGGGTATCACGTTCCAGTGAGTTCCCAGGTCTAGGCTTCAACATACCCGGTCGGGTGACCAACCCTACCCGGTCGGGTATCTCCTGCTACTGCAAAACCAAGGCTCCACCTTCAACAATCTCCCACTTGGAGGCTTGGTTAACAATTATCTGCCATCCAAGAACATGTATCCTCTGTAAAACCTCTGATCTCTCTCTCGTTCACGCCTTCTCATCAAGTATCTGGAAGCCCAGTTGAAGCCATGCAAAGCTTAAACTTCTCCGTTGTCACCGCCTTGGTTAGCATGTCTGCTGGATTCTTCGTACCATGGATCTTCTTCAAATTTACAGTACCATCTTCAATCAACTCTCGAATGAAATGATACCGCATCTTGATGTGTTTCTTTCTGCTGTGAAACACCAGATTCTTCGCGAGATGAATAGCACTCTGGTTGTCACAATATAGAATGAAATCTCCCTGCTTCATGCCCAACTCCGAAAGAAAGTTATTTAACCAGATCAACTCCTTGGCTGCTTCAGGAAGGGCCATATACTCAGCTTCTGTGGTTGAAAGAGCCACACTTTTCTATAGTCTGGACATCCAACTGATTTCCGTACCTCCAATAGTGAATACATACCCCGTAGTGCTCTTCCCGGAATCATAGCACCCCCTAAATCAGCATCGGAAAATCCTTCTAGGATCACACCATTCCTCCTGAAACATAGACCAGTTTCAGAAGTGCCTTTCAAGTAGCGCAACAGCCACTTAACTCCTTCCCAATGTTCCTTCCCTGGATTTGACATGAACCTGCTAACAACTCCCACTGCATGAGCAATGCCCGGCCTTGTTGACACCATCGCGTACATCAAACTGCCAACGGCTGATGCATAAGGAACTTTAGCCATTTCTTCTTTGTCTTCATTGGTCTTTGGAGACTGCTGCGTGTAGAGTTTCAAATGACTCCCTAACGGTGTACTCCTTGGTTTGACATCCGTCATTCTGAACTTCTCAAGGACCTTCTGAATGTAGTTCTGCTGTGAAAGCTGTAAAGTACCTTCTACCCTATCTCTGACAATGCTCATCCCAAGAATCTGTCTCGCTTCCCCTAAATCCTTCATCTCAAATTCTTTGGACAACTTCTTCTTAAGTTTGTTGATATCCTGCATGTTTGCTTCAGGCACCAACATGTCATCAACATACAAAAGAAGAATAATGTATGATGACTTGAATTTCTTCAAGTAACAGCAATGGTCCATCTTGCATCTAGTGTACTCATTCCGCTGCATAAAACTGTCAAACTTCAAGTACCACTGTCTAGGTGCTTGCTTCAGTCCGTATAGACTTTTCTCGAGTTTGCACACCAACTTCTCCTTACCACTCACTGGGAAACCTACTGGTTGAGCCATGTAAATTTCTTCTTCAAGGTTGCCATGAAGAAAAGCAGTCTTGACATCCAGCTGCTCTAAATGCAAATTTTCAGCAGCAACGATACCAAGGATCAACCTGATAGTGGTCATCTTCACAACCGGAGAGAAGATTTCATTGTAATCAACCCCTTCTTCTGTTGAAACCCTTTGACAACTAGCCTGGCCTTGTATATTTTGCTCCCATCTGCTTCATTTTTTATTCTGAACACCCACTTGTTCTCTAAAGCTTTCTTTCCCGGTGGTAGCTTGACTAAGGACCAAGTTTGGTTCTTGTCAAGTGAATCTAACTCATCCTCCATGGCCTTCTTCCACTGTATGGAATCTTTCACGGTCAGCGCCTCCGAGTAAGATTCTGGCTCTCCATTCTCGGTCAGCAACAGGTAATTTGCTGAAGGAGAATATCTGTTAGGAGGTCTTCTGTTTCTAGTGGTCTGTCTAATGTGTGGAGTAGTTGCCTCTGAACTCCCAATATCTTCGTCACTCCCACTATCTTTAGTCATTCCTGTATCTCCTGAGCTCCCACTGCTCCCTGAGCCTCCAGCCGTCTCATCAAAACCAACAGGTTGTGCTATGTCATCTTCAGTCATCCCGTCAAACACCACTTGCTGTTTGTTTTCTGGTTGCTTGCCTTTGCTTGTATCTGCTGCAAGACCATCTTTATACAAGGCATTCTCGTTGAAGGTGACATCTCTACTTCTGATAACCTTCTTGCTATGGTTGTCCCAGAACCTGTAGCCCATGTCATCCAACCCGTACCCAATAAAGATACATTTCTTTGCCTTTGCCTCGAGCTTGTCACTATCTGCATCTCTAACTTTGACATAAGAAATACAACCAAAAACTTTCAAGTGATTAAGAGATACCTCATGACCTTTCCATTCCTCTTCTGGAATTTTGAAACCTATGGGAGATGAGGGTCCTCTGTTGATCAAGTATGATACTGTGTTCACCGCATCGGCCCAGAACATCTTTGGAAGTCCTGCATGCAATCCCATGCTCCTGGCCCTCTCATTCAGTGTTCTGTTCATCCTCTCTGCAACACCATTTTACTGTGGTGTTTCTGGAACCGTCTTCAGCATTCTTATCCCCTATTCAGCATTCTTATGAAGATGTTCTATTCAGCACAATCAAACTCAGCGTTGAAATTTCTCATCAAATCCCGAATCCATGATCCCGGATTCAATTGAATTTTCAACGCTGCAAATTAGAACATCTTCATAATCCTCTGCCACGTTCACCTTCTTCTTGCCTTTGTCTACAGGACTTTTGAGCACTGATTTCTGAAGTGTCCCTTCTCTTTTCAATTCCAACAATTGATGTCCTTCATGTTCTTGGATTGACCTCTCTTCCTCGACTTTGATCTTCCTTTCTTGTTACCCCCTTTAGTGGATTTTCTGCCCCTATCTTCAGCACTCAACAAACTGTTGGAGCTATCCCCCGAACTCCTCCTCTGGATATCCTCACCAAGGATTAAGTCACGAATACCTTCAAAGTTAAACTTAGTGGTTCCAGCCGAACTACTAACTGTTGTGACTGTACCAGACCAACTATCGGGCAAAGATGATAAGAAAAGTAATGCTTGAACTTCATCATCGAATTTAATCTCAACAGAGCCTAACCTGGATATGATTGAATTAAACTCGTTGACGTGATCTGTCACGGCTGCACCTTCCTTCATTCTTGTGTTCACCAATTGTCTGATTAAGAAAACCGTGTTGGCCGTTGAGGGTTTCTCGTACATGTTGGATAATGTCTTGAGCAGTCCAAACGTTGTCTTCTCGTTGACGATATTGTAAGCAACGTTTTTCGCCAACGACAACTTCACCACACCAAGAGCCTGTCGATCCAGCAAGTTCCACTCCGCCTCCGCCATTGATTTTGGTTTGTTCTCAGACAAGGGTAGATGCAGCTTCTTCTGGTAGAGATAATCTTCGATCTGCATCTTCCAGAAAGCGAAATCTTGACCATCAAATTTATCGATCTTAACCTTTGCTTCGTCAGCCATAGCTCTGATACCACTTGTTACGATTTAGGTTAAGTAAAACGATAAATTAAAGAGCAAGAACACAAGAATTTATGTGGCTCACACAATCAGGGTGATTGTGCTAGTCCACGGCGAACGAGAGAGCAGTGTATTATTATATCGGCGTCAGGGTTTACAAGTACATAAGAGTCGTTTAAATAGGTTTAAGAAAACCTAAACGCAATTAAGAGCCGCAGGCCCGAAAAACAAAGCCCATAATTAACTTTTTCCGCAGACCCGGTCGGGTCAACCCGTGTACCCGGTCGGATCTCTTCTCAAAAAGCATGTCTGGGTCGATACCAGGGCGGGTAACCAAAACAGAAGCTAAAACCTTCCACTGACCCGGTCGGGTAAAGCTCCTTACCCGGTTGGGTATCACGTTCTAGTCAGTTGCCAGGTCTAGGCTTCAACATACCCGGTCGGGTGACCAACCCTACCCGGTCAGGTATCTCCTGCTGCTGCAAAACCGAGGCTCCACCTTCAACAAATCTATCCACAATGATATATGTAAAGACTCTTGATTTCAAAATCGGTTTTATTGGTTGATTCTACTGAAATTTACGAAATTCAAACATAAATTCATTGATTATGCCGATTTATGAAAAAACTATACTAGGTATTTCAAATATATTTTATTAATAAAAAAAGTTATATAAAAAAAGATAAAATGAACCTCCGCAGTAACTTCTGCCAATACTGTTAGAAAAGTAAATCCAAACATACTTTTTCTTATTTTTACATAATTCAACGCTCGAAATAAAAGGTTACGTATTTAGTGAAATGTTTGCCGATGAGCCTAATAATTCAAAAAATATGACCACCAAATGGGCTCGTAAAGTCTACATTTGTATCTGTGAGAATAATGGAAAAGGTTACTCCCTAAGGAGCCCTGACAGATATATTTATATTAAAGAGAGTTTAATGTAAAGTACAATATTAAGCCTCTAATAATTCTATTACACCCCCT